ATACTACATGTAGACCTTTCTCAGATTTGCTCATTTCGTGATGGTATCTTCGATTCTATAATTTTGGTGAATATTTTTGTCATTTTTGGTAAAAAGTGATATTTTCGACTTCTTGTAAAAAACCAATAGTCTGATTGCTTTGATATTACATATATAGGTACTACATGTGGACCTCTCTCAGATTTGTTCATTTTGTGATGGTATCTTCAATTCTCTAATTTTGGTGAATATTTTTGTAATTTTTGGTAAAAAGTGATATTTTCGACTTGTTAAAAACCAAAAGTTCAATTGCTTTGATATTACTATATAGATTACTATATAGATACTACATGTAGACCTTTCTTAGATTTGTTCATTTCGTGATGATATCTTCAATTCTCTAATTTTGGTGAATATTTTGGTCATTTTTGGTAGAAAGTGATATTTTCGACTTCTTGTTAAAAACTGTAAGTCCGATTGCTTTGATACTATACATATTGTTCATTTTCTAATGATGTCTTCAGTTCTTTAATTGAAATGTGCATTGCTATAAGCGGAGCTATCTCAGCCAATAGGCTGCTTGTTTCTTATCTATTATTAATAGTAAAATCCTTAAATCAATATTTTGGGTAGCTCAAAGTAGATTTAATATGGGGTGAGCTACTGTAAAATACTTTATTTTCGCTTGGAATTAATTTTCGCTATTTTCGCTGAAGTAATGATTCAGTGAAAATAAAATCCAGTGAATATACCCTTTTCTCCTATATTTTATATTCAACTCGTCAAAAACCAGTGAAAATAAATTCCATGCAAAACACTCGAAGTCTTTTCAGCGAAAATTAATTCCAGCTAAAATAAAGTATTTCACAGTATTTCAAGTTGAATTACAATTTGTTTAGTCTCAATTATCTGCCACAAAGCGTTTGCTTTACTTATCCACTGTCACTTTTTGTGTAAGGTTACTGGTCTGAGCAGCGATAATGATACGCATGAATAATGTACGTAAGGTATGAATCATTATTTCTCCATGACGGGCACCGTTTGAAAGAAATTTAGTTTCAAGATCACTCTACTGAGGGAATGTGTTTTTACCTTGCCCATAGAAGAATAAATTAGGACTCTCCACATTGTTAATGTTGTCAACTTTTTAATTGACATTACCATAATAACACTTTTCAATCAATCTTAAATATGAGTAATAAATCTCTACTTTATTCACAATTTATAATTATATAATTACAAGTTTTAATGTAGTCATCTGCTTGTGAATATAAGAATTCTGTTTTTGAATGGCCTGAATGCAAATAGAAATCTTCCTGTATACTGGAATTATATTCAAAATCCGTCAGGTGGTTTCATTCAATAATTTTTCATTATGACAACCGCTATCGCTGCTTTAAAAATGAAATTTCACTCTATTTACAGCAGTAATTTTTCTGGAGTATACAGCAAAATTGGAGTTAGAAATCGATAGGGCTGACCGTATATTATGATTACTATAAACATAGTCCACATAGTAAATATAAATTTAGCCTTGTAGCCCCAGGTACAAGTTTTCTATCCAAAATCTGAGGGGAAGCTATTGTCTCGTAACCATGACAACAATGTTTAAAAAAAATTAAGCCTTTGTTATGGTAGATTGCCAAATAATTAAATCGATGCGTTTTTTATTACTGTGTGCATTGCCATGAATTTTACGTAAGTTGGATCTATTGTGGTTGATTTGTTGTTTCGTCGTTCCCTTTTGTCAGTTGCATAATATTCGTATGCAATGCTTTGGATGGTTGCGTCTGTCATGTAACTGATGTCTGAATGCTGTTAAGTTTGCAAAACCCCTACAAGTAATGAATTCCTGATTACTTGTGGAGGGTGAGCGAAGGGTACGTTTCTACTCTTTTTGCATAAAGGGCTTTGTTGCACAGCATTGCCTTCAAAACTCTTTCTTCAAAACTCTGCCAGTCTGAACTCTCACTGTCTGGTAATCCCACATTATGAGCAGTGAAACACGGCAACGCAGTAATCTACCATCGCTGCCAGAAAATCTCGGCTTAATCATGGTCAGTTCTGATTATAAGGGAAATCAATTATCATTATTCATTATTACCGGCTTCTGACAGAAAATAAGCAATTGAAATCCTGAGGAATCATTGTCAAGTGCATGCCGATGTTGGATTTGTAAGCTTAGTGAGCATTATTCCTGTTGCCATAGTGATGTCATTATTGGTCACATGCCTGCTTGTCATGCATACTGATTTGAAATCTAAACATGACAGCATGGACATTGATTTCTGTATGATACAAGCTCTCTGATAGCTCTATCAATATGTAGGTGAATCATATTAATTTTTCTATTTTCCATCCAGTGTATTGATTTCTCTACGAACATGTTCCAGATTACACAATATAAAATATAATTTTTTGGAATGAATCGAAATGAATGAAATGATCGAAACTGCAAACAAGCAAAATAAAAGATGTCTAAGCTAAAAAAAGAACTAGAAAATCAAAAATTACATCCAACAGCATATACTGAGTAAACCATTTCAATTTCGCAAGAGGTGAATTTGGCAAGTCAATGATAATTTTATGATAATATCACTGTAATTTTGTTGCCATGACAATGTTTCTCTGGTGTTCATCCTGTGTCACTGACTGTCACAAATTTTTGTCTTGTTGATTGTCATGAATCCCTGTAATCATGAAAGTTTCTATCAGTGAAAAATACAATAATTCAAAATAGATTCTTGAATATTGTCCTAAAGGGATAGATATAGATTTATTACTCAAGATGAACAATTACAATAACTGTCCTAGGCCTGCACACATGATATCACACTAAAAGTACGATATAATTACTTCAAAGTCAGAGAAGAGACTTGTACCTAGTATATATTCTTGTTGAGGATTTGTGAATGGTTTATAAGAACCACTATGTCTTTGATGACATCTGACATGCATTTATCTCCATGGAAACTCGATAACAGGATGGTGGCTGCTATCATGCTTGTACCAAGGGTCTTATTTTCATGTCAGCTGTATTGATTTTATTGGTTTTACCTCTGTATCTGACCTTTATGTAAAGTTTATGAATTCTTATGTATGCTGTAAGTCTGTCTAGTAAAGTCTGCTCATTGTAGATTAATTTTGATTAGATTCAACACTTGAAGGTTTACATTAGTTTACTTTTGTTTACTCTCCAAGTCAAGATGGC